GCCCTCAGACAAAATACATGCTTCATGGAAGAGAGGTTATGTTAGGTTAAGTGCATAACTTAGCTGTTGTCAGGAAGCGCAGTTCATGAGATGTGTTGCATCATTGACTTAGAAACCCTCAGTTGAAATTGGCAGTGTTTTTATTTGCATTCAAGGCTAGTAAATATTTTCAGCTTGCAAATTTATACAAAATAGTAATAAATGTCTGTTGCCAGAGACCCTGATGAACGTTCCTCCTGAAATGTGCTATTTAGCAAAATATGATTTTCTGTCTCTATTCAACTTTTTTCTCATTGCAGCATTTCAATCTGTTAAAAGCACAAAGATGCAGAGGTGAAGATGCTAATGTATCAGATCTGCAAAATTTTGTTCATTTTGAACAGTCCTTCCATCATGTAATAATTGCTAATTTCCCCCCTTTTTTTTAGTATGGTTTGATAGAGGTTTTGTATATTTGTTTGTTTGTAGGATTTTATTGTTAGTTTTTGTCATTGTTGTTTTGCTTGTTTGTTTGTCCTTGTGGTGGATTTTTTTGGGGTCTTTTCTTTGGTTGGTTGGGTTTTTTTACTTTTTTCTTTTTGTTTTTAATGAGCCACCAAGGTGAGTAGTAAATTCCTAGCACCAGATATACTTGGACCCAAAGTGATTTATACCTTGTCGTTGAATAAATTGTCTTAATGATTTTCTGGCATGATACATGGATAAAAAAATCACAGCGTGAATGTCGTGGTTCAAGCATATATTGTGATGCTGATAGGTAGTAAATCACAGTTTTTAATTTTCACAAAATATAAAGGAAAGCTTCCTTTGGCCAGTCCATAGCCCTTCCCAGCAAGCAGCATGTGGTAGCTGTGCAGTGTCCTGGCTGTCAGAGCTGTGTGGGGCTGCTTTAGCAAAAGTGGCCACAAATGTGTGCCACCACTGGCCAGGCATCTCATGCAGCCTTTTCCTATCTGTCCTCACTCTTGGAAGGATCAGGATGGAGAATACCAGCTGAATTCATTGGTTTTGTGTCAGCAGTGTCTTCCTTCTGCTGTCATTCTTGAGAGGCTCTTTGGTTTTCCATCTGTTGTGTGTGGTTGTACAGCTCTCACAGGGTGTGGAAAGGGTGTTGTGGCCTGAAGGCTGGGACAAGCTGAGAACAGGCTACAAGCTCCACAGCTTGTTCTGGCAGACAGAAAATGTCATGTGGGCTGTTCCTTGGATAACTTGCAGATGGAAATCCCAATGAAGAATGGTTTATAGAATGAGCTTCTTCACAAGGCTCTTATCACTGCAGACCCATAGCAGGTCTCAATGTGCTAGTCCAGGTAACCATAGCAGTGTAACAGTGAAATAACCATGCTCCTGAGTGTTTGCTCACGTCCTCTGATGAGTTTACAGCTGTTCCTAGGGCCATGGTGCTGCCATGGTGACAGGGGTGGCCTTCCTGAGCTAACTGATTTAAGGCCGTCATTCGACTGGTACTAATTTCAGCCTGAAACCCCCAAATTAAATGCTATGTACTTAGAGAAATAAAAAAATAAATAGTGGGAAGAGTATCTACATTAAGGTATAAGTGCATTCACTTGAGGGTCAGCAGCTTACATCTGCTGTCCATCACTGGCATGTAGCAAAATAAATAGACCATGATCGACTTCACATTTCTCTATAGCAACAGCAGGGTTTTCTGGTTCTAAATACTTACAATACAGTGCTAGGCATATGAAAACTGTTGCAGAATTCAAACAGAAATTGACTGCAGTCACCTTTGTAAGGCACCAACAAATTTGCTATTCCTTGTCCTGTTTTTCAAAGGATTAATATGTATGTACTTGGACCTTTATCATAGTATAATCCCAAATGGCCACTAAGCCCCACACACAGCTCCCTCACGCTCCCATGTTGGATGTGGGAGAGGATCTAAAGAGTAAAAGTGAGAGAATTTGTAGGTTGAGATAAAGACAGTTTAATAGGTAAAGCAAAAGCTGGGCATGCAAGCAAAGAAAAGCTAGGAATTAATTCAGCACTTCCCATGGACAGGCAGGTATTCAGTCATTCCCAGGAAAGTGGAGCTCCATCACACACAAGTAATGGTTACTTGGGAATACAAATACCATCACTCCAAGCGTCCCCCTGTCCTTCTCCTTCCCTGAGCTGTGTATGCTGAGCATGATGCCTTATGGTCTGGAATGCCCCTTTGGTCACTGGGAGTCGGTCAGCTGTCCCAGCTGTGTCCCCACCCTCAGCCTCCTCGCTGCTGGGGTGGGATGAGGGGCAGAAAGGGCCTGGGATCTGTGCAAGCCCTGCTCAGAAGTTACAAAAACATCCTTTTATTATCAACACTCTGCTCAGTACAAATCCAAAACACAGCCCCACACCAGCTAGTTTGAAGAAAATGAACTCTACCCTAGCCTAAACCTATCCAATCTTTTATTTGAATCTCAACAGCAACAAATTTGGTTCACAGTTTTATAGATAAAGAAAATACTGTATCATTTTCTCAGTGTGTGTCAGTACCAGTCTTAGGTAATGGTAAGGTAAGGTAAGGTAACCTTTCTACTGCAGATATATTTTTTCCTGTTTGGTTTGTATAAGAAGACCTGAGAAGAACCCAAATAAAAATTCAAGGTTTATTAAACTCTAAATTACATTTAAATGACTTATAGTGTCATATTTATAGGACTGTGACTACACTTTTTATATAGAATTTTTGTAGGGATTTTAAATAGATCTCAGAGATTTACAGCTGTCTTCTAGAAATACATTATTTTCAGGGTTTGTTGCAGTTGTTACACATTAACTTACAGTGTGCTAACAGCTAAGTAAATGTTTGGCAACTGATCAGAAGCCCTAAATGAGGTCATAACATATGGAGAGGTGCTGAGAGGTTACAATTCCTGTGTGTCTCAATTAATACTGTAGCTAGTAAGCATTCTTTGCAGTTCATAGGCTCTGATCCAGCAGTGTGCTGGCGTGGAAGTGGATATTTAAGCCAACAACCCAATAAGTAGATCTGTCAGCTTCACTAAGGGTACTCATGTACTTGGAAGTATTTTCAGGAACGAGTTCTTTGCAGGGTCAAGGTATCTTGGAATAAATATTTGTTGGGAAAGTTTGAGTACAACAAGCTGAAACACTTGAAAAACATCCTTTTCCTGAATGCTACGTTGCATCTCATCAGTGCATGTGAGCAGCAATAGATTTCCTTTATGAAAAGTGTTATTTTCTATCTGATTGCAGCTCATTTAAGCATAAACACATTTAATGTACTCTTGCTTTATCCTTACCTAGAAGCCATCATTGTAGCCGACATGATGAAAGCAGAACTGTAGTAGTTTAGGCTAATAGGCACATTTCTTATGATGTCAGTCTTTATTGAGAGGCATCTATTCAGCCCAGTATTTCAAAGGGAATAGTTTATGTTCCTTTCATATCATCTCTCATTGTTTTGGTATCATTTGGATTGATGGATTGATTGTATTGCAGTGTTTGCTAACTGACATAAGTACAAATGCATAAAAAAGGAAGCATCTTCATTTATTTTTCTTATAAAATACTTAGGTATTCTACAGGAAAACATTATCTGAAGTATTTCATTGTAAGCAGAGAATGTCTCAGTCTTTGCAGTTTGCATTGGAAAGCTGGTGACCAATTCTTAAGATTGAGCAAACCTAAGAGAAATGAAAATGTGAGTTATTTGCACATTTGTATGGGATGCCTCTCTGACTCTGCTGTAGAGACAACAAAAAATACTTCTAAAAACACAGAAAAGGAGAAGTATTTTCTTGAATTTTTGCTGTCATACTATCGGTTAATTCAGAGTTTCATTATCTCTTCTGTTATCAAACAGGAAATCCTTTCTTTGCTTTTACTGCCCCTGAAAGGTAGCCTTATCAACCAACCATTCTTCACATGTGGCTCCCCAAACTTTTTTCCACTTCTAGTATCTCACAGAGCGATTAGCTCTGACAGAAGCATGCAGAGCCAGCCTGTGTTTAGCACTTGTACACACCACTGGGTATTTTATTTGTGTGAAGATAGAAAAGATTAGTCTTGACTCACTGAGGCTGGTTAAAGTAGTGGCCTGATTTTCAGTTTGTTCAGGATCCCACTTACTGAAAATATCATCATGACTCAGAAGGGACCTTGCCTTCAGAGAGGTCAGAGTCGTGTTTAATACTATCAGCTTTATTGTAGTGATCTACCTATGGTATTATTAGCTATACAGAACCTGAAGATACACATCTTGAACTGTAATGATTTTGAGAATGTGGTTCAGTTTTTGTTGGGTCTTGAGTTTGGTTTGGGATGTTTTTCCGGTGGTGGTGGTTTTCTTGAGGTGGTGTCTTTTTGGTTACAGGAAAAAAAAATTGTCTTAAATGTAGGGTACTCTTTGAGTCCCCTTTTTCATAGATCTTATCCCAACTGAGATTTTGTTTTGTCATGAAGATCCAGAATATGTTTTGAGGAGTTTTTTTTTAATATTCTTGGTTTTTTAAACCAAATTTAAGAAAATTTCCATTGACTTAAACGTGACTTTTTTTTACCAACAATATAATTTAAATTAAAATCCCTGTAACTTTCATTCATAACTACTTTCTCCCTGAATCAATACATAGATATAATCCTATACTAAATAGCAACCATGAGCAGTGGAGACTTGAAGGATGAAGATGAAGCTAAATCCTCATAATAGTTTCCTCAGGGGTTTTAATAGGTAATGCTCATGTTTTTACTTGGTTTTAGCTCCCTCCTTCATGTAGAAAATCCAGCAGAAGTAGAAAATCAATCAAATGTGAGATAGACCTTTTACTGATTGTCTGCATTAAGACTGTCCCTTTACCTGAAGGAATATGTGGTATTGTGATTTTACCAGTAAATACATATTCTACTTTACACTTGAAAATTGCAAAGTATCTTATTTCTGTAAGATGGCATAGTTGTGCATCCATTATCTTGGCATTTAGGAACCAGCTTGTTACAGATTTTAAACAAACAGCAAAGTTCCAATTCTTTTCTTGATTTCCCCCCACCCTCCTTGGTGCTCTCCTTATCTATCCATGAGCCCAGTGGGTATATTCAGATAGCACAACAAGTTTGCCTCTCTTTTCAGTTCATCCTGTAGATGTTTCCAGGTGATGAAAGGAGACCTTTTGAAAATTGCATGTTCCTTTCTTTTTTCTGTAGTGATGAAAAGCACGCCATGATGCTGACAGAGACTGCTTTTGTCTCCTTGACATGTACGCATAATTTATACAGCCTTATAAATCTTGGCTTTATGGGACCATGTGTCTTATAAATGAGATGAAGGGTGTCCCTTTCACAATGGGTTTGTCAAAGCTGAGGGAGAGCTGAGGTTGTTCTCTCCCTCTAACCTCTTGGCCACCCCTTGGTAAAATAGCATAGCTTTAGAGTTAATGGACTAATTGCATGTACAGCAAACATCTTCATTTTCCAAGCCAGTGCAAGCTGACAACTTTATTGTCCTGTATTAAAAAAAAAAAATCAAAAAGGTGATATTTCAGAGAAAAGAAATGGAGAGGAAAAGTTTGGTAGGGTAACTTATACAAGAAAGCATAATATCTTCAACAGAGCAAACTTTGAAAGGCCTTGTCTGTGTTCATATCTGTTATCATAGTTATAGAAGATTATGGGTGTAGTAGATATGAGATGATTATATTCCTTCTAAAATATTTAAGAACTTTTTAGAACGTTCTTAGGTAAGAAACTTTTACAAAGTTCTTAGAAAGTATCCCTTTCTTGATAATTTTTTTAGGTTTTTTAATAGGTAGTTTTGATCCCTAGTATTTTGGAACTGTTCTTCCCAAAACTAGCTATAATATTTTAATTTTGATGTTATTCAGATAAATTTAGATGAATTTAGCAAACATTCTCTGTGGAGAAAAAATTTGTCCAAATGACAATGTATCTTTGCCCCTCTATTTGTCTGGAAAAACTGAAAGAACTGGGGTATCCATTTGTTTTAGTGTTTTACAGTCTTTTTTTTCCTTTGTCCAGAGTTATCTTTGACAAAATGGGGGATTCCAGCATAGCATATTGAGGAGAATGTTCCAGTTAATCAAAGACAACTGTTTTCAATTCAAAATGTATATATTTATTTTTTAATTAAAATATTTAACATTTTTCATTAAAACATTAATATGTTCAATTTCCCTCTGAACACCTACACACTGAAAAACATAGTAAAAGATCTGTCCAGTATTCTTTACTAAATCATCAGAAAACTGCTAGAGGTGAGCTACCTACAAAAAAGTAAACATAAGTGAATATTTTATGTCCTGTGTAAATAGAAAGTTAGAAAGAAACAAAAACATTTAACACAGGTCTTTTATTGAAAAAAAAATACTTCACACCTAATTAAGTAGCCAAATTCTAATTATATATTAAAGGTGAAGATTCATTGGAAAAAAGACACCTTTGATTACTTTTTCTCTATTAGTTTTTCAAAATCAGTTTGCTGCAGTACTGCTTCAATTGGTTTGAATTGCTCACACAGAGCTAGAAAATATGTTCAACTGTGATCCTTGTTTATATGCAGGAATTGTGCCAATTTAAATCATTTAGATTCTGCTGTAAATTGTCACTGCTTCTTTTTATAACAATAACAGATGTTTTTTAATGTTTTCTCATAACATCTTAATGCCAATTAGCTACTAATTTTTTTAATGCAATTCCATGTGTTTTGCATTAGATTAGGCTTTGATTTTTTTTTTTTTCTGTCGTAGCTGTTGGTCCTTGGCTACACAAATCCAAAACCCATCATTTTTAGAAGGTGTAACAAATTCTGTAAGAACTCTACCTCTTGACAGCATTGGTCCGTCTAGTCGTACATTCATCAGAAGTTTATCCTGAATCTGGAAGATGAATAAGTAGGAAGTAAGTGATTGATTAAAAAGTTTTGTGTATAAAAAAAGTAGAGTGCCTGAAAATATTCAGAGAGCATCATACTTGCTCTGGTGTAGCAGTTATGCAAGCTGGGACAAAGGCAGCTGAGGAGGTTTTTATACTGTGACAAAACCTCACTCTGAACAAGAGCTCCCATCAAGGTCAAACTTTCTCATATTAGCAGCCTAATACCTCTCCAGCTTAATATTGTATTACTGGCTATTGAAATGTGGCTCCTAACCTCTCTAATTAGATGCGGTGCTGCTCTATAAGTAAATGAGATTACAGAGGCTGGTGCAGCTGCCTGGGTTGGTCCTTCATGCGGCTCACCTAGGGCTGCAAGTGCCCTCCGGGAAAGAGGTAAGGGAGTTCAAATTTCCCTGCCTTCCAGACGAGTGCATTCTCTCTCGAATAGATAAGGCCTCTGCCTAATCTGTCCTCACTATCTCTAATTCAGGTCTCTCCTGTTACAGATTTTCCCCAAAGTACTCTTTGCTACCTCCTTCCTTGTCTTTTTTTGCTTGCTCTTTCTGAACTGCTCCAGATAGCAGTAAGATAACAGTAAAATGGAGGCATTGGTAAATTTTAGCAGTATCTGCTGAACAGCCCTCTAAACAGCTCCTGCAAAGTGGTTTCTGAGTACCTGAGATATTAAAAATTGGGGAGGGAAATTGCTGTATAAAGCAGCCCTGCCAATATTGCCATCATCCATGCCAATGTGTAAAATGCATTCTCTGAAATTCTTTTTTCAAGTATGGTGGGAATTTGTGGCTGTGTTGGGAACTTTTCTAAATGTGTCTGATTGGATGTTTTAATCTTTGGATTTTCAGTCTAAGCATTTTTTTTCATGATGGCTGGCAGATAAGAAAAAAAAAAAAGAATTGTGAGAACAAATTTTATTTAGAGTTTTTTAGACTTTTAGTTAACCAGAACAGAATACAATAGTTCTGCATGCTGTCTGCTCTATATTTTATCTGACTGGAGACAGGCCTGAAATGTCTTGGATACTTTTATTCCTACTTCACACAACTGGTATGTGTTGGAGAACACAGTTTAATATAGAGATACATGAGTCTATTAGTAAACACAAAATTGGGATGGGAGCTTGTTTTCATGCAAATGGATATACAAACTAAATTTCTACCACCAAGTGGTTTTCAATATATTTAATAGATGCTTGACAAGTCAAAGAAATTGTGATACATGAGAAAAAAAACCCCATTTGTAATGAAAAACACTATACATTAGTATAATGACTTGATATTTTAAGGAGATGAAAAATGTTAAAATGCCCAGCCAGAAGGGCAGAGCAGAAGTAAAACTTATTTCAGAATAATCTGTGATCATTTGTTCAGGAATAACTGGACATAACTGTAACAGTCCAGCAGTTGTGGTCTTTAACACAGAAAACAGGTTTTTCAGCTTGTGCTGTGCAAACAAATGAAAATATGTTGGAAATACTGTTTTGTTGTAAAACAAAGGACAAAACCAGTCAATAAACTGTATTAGGATCCTTTGAGGACTTGCCCCAGATAGTCATTTAGAGATCCCCAGCGATGTAAAAAAACCCAAAAGAAACCTGAGCTAGTGAGAAAATAAAGTCACCCTAAGGTCTGGAAGTTTACAATTCCAAGTCTATGTACACCAGCACACCAGAATGAGCTAGAGAATCCACGGCAGAACTCTAGTTTATCCCATTTTTTGGTTACTGTTTCATCATGAATTGTTACATTCTCATCATTGAGGTGATGGAAGGCATTGAAGCAAAACACTATGACCTAAATTTTTTTTTCTGTTTCTGGAGCACTGTGATTGTCTTAGATTCCTTTTCAAAATATTGTTAATAATTCCCATAAGCAATGCATATGTATACTTTGTGAATATGCATGGAGACAATGTCTTTATCCTAAAATCCTTGGTCTGTCACAACTAGAAGTTGCAGTTACACGTGTTCACAAATTCGATGTCTTTAAGGCAACACTTAAAAACTCATTAGGTTCACAAATCAATGATTCTTTGAACTGAATGTTTGCAAATGGAAGAGGTATAAAATAACTTGTTTGTCGCAAAGAGAAGTAGAACTTGGCTAAAAGTAAAATGCATACACTTTCAGAAGTACCTCAGTAAGTGCTGAATCACTCAGACACTGAACTACATTTTGTCCCTGCAGACAGTCTATATAGCATCACTTTTTGATAACAGTCACTGCATTACATTTTTTAAAAGGCAATTACATATTCTCGATTTTACACCCTACCAAACCTTTTGTAGTTGATTTTGCTTGTTGTTGGGTTTTAGGGATTTTTTTAATGTTCAACATACACAACCAGTTCAGACTAAAGAACAATAGTAGATGAAAGTCAATGACATTTCAAAAAGAGTCTAAAGGAAGGAAAACAATTTCAACCAAGGAAGTTAACCACTGAAAATCTAAGACTGCTGGAAATCAGCACACTTTCAGTTATGGAGGTGCAATATTGTCATTGCCATAAGAAATGTCCAGCTGTGGTTGCTCTCAGCTTCCTTTCAGTGAGGAAGGCACCTATGGCATATATTCAAGGGCTGGTTGCTGAAGGGAAATCAGCTTAAGCACTTTCTTAAAACCTATCTTGTATGAGGACTTTCAGTCTGGGTCTGCATTTACTGACCTGGCTTCCTTTGCGAGATTTTGGCCAGTCCTAATTCCCTCAAAGTTAAGGAGGCATTGTATGAACTTGTCAAAATCAAACAGGTGATGCAGGTTCTTGTGGCAGACCTCATAAGGTCTGTGCACCTTTCAGGTGGTCACTCTCCTGGTAGTAATCCTTTCAAGTAAGGGAACAGAGTTCTGTGAAAAGAAACAGTGACAAAGGAGCTTAAATTGGGAAAGTTGTGTTGCAGACTGCATGAGCCTTCACTCCCTTCTGAGCAAAGAAGGGACTGTTCAGTGTATTTGTTATCTACAGCCAGCTAAGCAAATAAATAATAATGCTTTAGTGGGACCACCTGTCACCAAAACACCAAGAGCTGCCTTCCTGAAATAGAACTGCTTTTTAGATAGCCACCTGAACAAAACCAAGTACTTTAAAAGCAAACCACACACAAATATGAATGGCTCACAGTGGGAGGCATGGACAACTACTTTCCATACAACAGGGTCATTGATAAAGGCACATAATGTAAGAAAAGTGGTTGAGATGGCCATTCATATTCCCCCTGCACTTTTTATGTCCTTCCCTGCTTACAAAATCAGTAAAAGATACTTGGGAAGAAGAAGAGAAATGTAATAAAAAATATCTTGAATGCAAAAGACAAAAAAAATTGATGAAATGAGGTAACTATATAGGCTTTTTTTTTTTTTTTTGCCAAAATAAGGGGGGAATAAATAATAAAAAAGTTAGAGAATTTGGTGACTGCTAAAGGATGAAGGGATGTTTTAGTTTCTTCAAGCACTGAACTTCCTATGCTAATAATGAGCAGCAGTGGATGCTGATGTCTACACCAGGTTTTCCTGAGCATACACAATGTGTCCATAAATTGCCTTTTGGGAGGAATATCATATCTTCTTCTGCCTCAATTTCTCTCTCTTTTTACAGTGATTTTTTTTTCTTCTGCTAGAATTTCTTCCGCCATGTTTTCTAGTATTGCTGAGTGTGTATTCTTGGACTTGTTTGGTTTTGGTCATGTGACAAGAAAAGAAGCTATTGTACTTGCTGGTTGTGCCTTCTGGCAGTGTTAGTAAGGAAATGTTATGCCTGGCTGAAATTCACTTATGAAAAGCACACAAAGTGGCACAAAATTCTTCCTCTACATGTATTTAAGGGTAACTGTTTAGCCAAGGATGGTAGTACAAAATATTTCACTGAGGCCTTTAACTAAAAAAGAATTCCAAGAACTTAGGGATACAGACTATGAGCCAAGTTGGGAAGAAAAAGTCTTAAAGAGTCATATCAAGAGTCATTTAAGTTACAAAATTTGAAAGAAAGGTAGTTCTTTTACTAAGCAATTAAAAGGGCTTCAATAAAATGGCTCCTTTTATAGTACAAGATCAGGAGTAACTGATTAAAGGGATAAATTGAGTAAAACCTGATCAAAATCTATTTCTTTCTTGCTTTTCTGCTTTTTTCTTCATTGTGTATTTTTCTTCCTTTCCTAATCTCTCTACCTATGATTCTTTCTATATTTTTCTTTTACTCTTACCCTTCCTCTGTTTTCCTTGCTTTGTGTCCCTAGCTCTAACCCTCTTTCCAGATCCCATTCTTTTAGTCAGTCCCTTGTTTTCTTACCACTTTCTGTGACTGGTTCCACTGTGCCAAGGCCACATAAGCTACAGGGATAGCAGCTTCTGTCATCTCCAGTAATTCAGTTTCAGGTCTTAAAAGGAGAAGTAAACCCAAATCTGTAACTTTGTGCCAGTTTTGGGCATGTGGCTGGGCAGAGGTTGGTTCTTCATTTGGTGTTCCTTTTTTAAGTTCAAGTGTTATCATTCAGAGATAAGCAGTGTTGGATCTATCAGGGAGGAGGGGAGCTTAAAGAATGCTCAGGAAGAGCCAGCTTTGGAGTTTTTGTTTTGAACTCAAGTAATCTTTGACTTTTTGCTTTCAAGTTTACAACCGAAAAGTGCTCAAACACAAAAATTAGTTTAAATCAAATAAATGCTGACTGAAAGCTAGTTACTTACATTTCCACTAATTTTCTTCTAAACCATAAATTAATCAGATGTAATTTATTACAGTTTGAAACATCTTAATAAATAGAGTAGTTGTAACAACTCTAAAATTTATGATTTTTTTCTTATACAAAAAATACAGAAATTAATTTGCTTTCACTACCATTTTGGATCTTAAAAGCATAAGGTTGTGTTATCCTTTACTATCACTTAAGCTATGCAACTAGTGTTAACTCAGGGATCTGAATGCTTTTCTGAGGCAGGGGTAGAAAAAAAAGATGCAGTTAAAAGAGGGAAGTATTTTCCTGTAGAAAGTTAGAGATTCATAGGTGGTGACAGAGCCTGTGGGGGGGATTGAGGTGGGTACCTTTGACATCTACAACTACAAATGTATCTGACTGAAGACATCAGGTCTGAAAAGGAGTTTCTGCATGTGCATGCAT